CCTCATCAGAGCTAAACAACCAAAAAAAATCTGAAGCTCCTATGTTGAACAGTTTCTGAGTTATAAGCATTTTTGCATGTCCAGACACCCCCTCTTTGAAAGGAGCCCCCTCCTCAAATATGGGGTGTATGATAAAACCGTTGGCTGGCGCAGTGTAGGTCAGACTCATCTACAGCCCTGCCAAATTTCATGTTGATCGGTGCAGCCGTTTTTTTATTATGGTTGACCAAAAATCATTGAAAAAAAAAAAACAGTACGAAAACAATATGACTCCCGCTTACGCTTCGCGTGTGAGGGTCACAATTAACTTGATAGATGAAAATTGCATTACCATCATTTTAAAATTTTCTGAGCACGTTCACAGTGGTGAAAGCTAGGTGAAAAAAAAACGAGGAAGTACAACTAGCCAATCAGTGTTAATGCTTTAGACACACCCACTCTTGTGACATGCCCACTTTGATTCTGCAGAGAACCTCTTCTCAGGTGAGTGATTAGGCTATCCAGCAGCCACTAGTGTTGCTGTAGAGCATTTCTACCAAGTTAAGTTACCCGCCTAGATACAGAAGTGCGAGCGAGGAGATTGTAATGGCGGCGAACATCACTCCAGCATCTTCTAGCTTAAAAGCAGATGTGTGGGAACACTTTGGCTTCAAAAAGAAGAAGGAAAGCAAATTTCTGTATAAAACTGTGGCAGTCTGCAAGCTGTGTCACACAAACGTTAAATACTCAGGAAATGCCACCAACCTACGAGTCCACCTGAAATGCCACCAGTCTGACATGATGCYGATGAGCCCACGAAGCTACACCGCGACCCAAAACACACCATGCTGGACAGCGATGGCGGGTGTTTCCAGAAGTTACCATCTACTTCGCCAAGGTCACAAAAGATTACAGAGACAATTGCCTACTTTATCTGTCAGTTTTTGAGACCATACTCTGTGGATGAAAATGCAGGCTTCAGGCGCATGGTGAAGGCGATGGAGCCCTGATGTCAGATCCCGACCCTTGAACACCTCACCAAAGTGTGCGTTCCCAGGCTGTATGTTCAGACAAAGACACATGTCAAAGCCTCCCTTGCCAGTGTGGAGAGAGTTGCCCTGACGTGCGATGGGTGGACTTTGCAAACAACAGAAGCTTATGATACCATCATGGCTCACTTTATCAGTGACGAATGGGAGCTTKTTACATACGTGTTACAAACCAGGGACACGCCCAAGAGCCACACTGGACAAGACCTGGTAGAACACCCGAGGAAAGACCTCACTGAGTGAGGAATAACAGAAAAGGATCCTGTAATTTTCACAGACAACGTGTCAAATATGTCCATTGCAGCTGTAGAGGCACTGTTCTCACTTCATGTCAAATGCTACGCTCACACTTTGAATCTGGCTGCACAGCGAGCCCTAAAAATCACAGAAGTTACACGCCTGTTGGGAAGAGTGAGAAGGACCCTCTCCTGCATCTCTTAATCCCAGCAGAGCGTAACAACTGACTGAACTCCAACAGAGCAAAGAGGAGTTTTTTTGAGTACTCAGACTGAGCACAGCAAGGCTGTTCTCAGGACAGAGGAAAGATAAAAATGTGTGCGTGCTTGCAGGTGTGGAGTTTCTCGTGAATGTGTGTGTGTTCTTGTATGGAAACCCAATCCAAAACATCAGAAAGTAACATACGAACATCTTATGAGCAGAAGTAACTAAACTTCTTAAAACAGCATATTAATATTCTAATTAACTAATGGTTAATTATGAAAATTAATTAAATAGATTATTAAGAAAGATTGAAAAATGCGTATCAAAATAGAAGGAATAAAAGCATAAAAATATAAGCATTGACTAAAACACGTATTCTGTTACCATTAACTTATAAAAGTCTAAAAATGTTCAAAGACAACAAATGCAAAGTTATTATAAGATAAATTAGAGAGTCCTTAAAAATAAAAACAAAAAGTCAAACATATGAAAGGGTTTAAACACTGTACATGTTTGAGAAAACAGCAACAGAAGGTTTGTTTTATTTTATTTTGTTTTATCAACAAACAGCAAATCTCTGTGGGAGCATATTTCTTCCCTAGAGGAGAGGAAAGAAAAGGCTTTTATTTTTTATAGCTGTCAGSAGAGCTGAAATTATTAAGTCCGGGGAGAGGAGAGGTTTGACCCCAGGTGGTCAAAGGTCAACCAGTGGTGAGGTGAGGTGAGATGAGGGGTTTCCCTACAGAATCTTGGCTAAAAGGTCATGGAAACTATTTTTATACACACACACACACACACACACACACACACACACACACACACACACACACACACACACAC